AGCCACATGCGGCTCTTTGGATGTAAAGCTGCGGCTCTTTAGTTCCATACGCAAATATTATTTATTTTATCAAAAAAAAAACATTTAAAAATCGTTCTGAATCGATTAACGAGGATTCGGCACCGATTCTATCTCTCAGGCACTTGTACTCGATTTTCATCGCACCTCTCCCCCGTGATTCGCTTCCGACTCAAAAGGTTGCCGACCCCTGCCTTAAATCATAATTATTTTAAAGATCAAATAACACTGTGTTCGAGTGACAAATAATTTATAAAATAATAATATAAAATGAAATAATGAACATTTTTAGAAGTTGCATTTTTCAAATAAATTAAAAAAAAAAAAAAAAAAACATGAATTCATCTATTCTCCCGCAAGAAGTCGCGACTACACTTTTAAAGTTTTTACTTGTGGAGTCGCGTGTAAAATCGAAGGGGTTCGGGACATATCTGAAAGTAAAATCCACGAAGCAATTAGAATAATTACGCTAGACATTCTTGATGGAGCATGACATGAAATCGAATTTCGATAAGTGTACCGCGCTGTTAATGGCGCATACATAGAAGTCTATTAATACCGTACAAAATCTCTTTGAGTTACTCAGTGTGTGATACAAAAACTTCTAAAGCACTGTGATTAACGTGTCTTTCACAATAATCTCACGAAATCCCACTATTCATTTTCGGAAATCTTATGTGTCTGATGATTTTCTCGAATAGCTCACAGGAGGACTGAAATTGTTCCCGCTATAGTTTTAGCTATAAACTTTACTCAGATTAATAAATTAAGTTTCTACGCAATAAAACATCCCGCAAGTTTTATCATTAAATCCTAAGATATGCGTTGAATTTAAAATAATTTCTACACTCGATATTCATATGGCACACATTTTATGGTTTAATAACAGAGAGGTTGCGGCCGAAGTTTTCATCTCTCAAACGTGAACGTCGAACGTCGAGCGCCGCTTATAAGATAGCGGCGCTCGACGTTCGACGTTCACGTTTTACAGATGAAAACTTTGGCCGCAACATTTCTAGTAATTTATTTCATTAGTGCTTTGTATAAAGTGAAAATTATTTTAAAAAATCACTGATGATTGTTTTTTCTCACAGACTGCTCAGAGAGCTCTTTTTAATGCTGAGATATATATACTGTTTGCATATCTTATACTAATGAACTAGCTTTTGAGGTATTCTAGCATAACAAATGGTGCTGGTTGTTGACCATGATAATTCTCAACATTAGCTTCTGCTGCCATATTATCATCTACACAGTTGTCTGTTGAAGCAGAATTGCAGAACAATCTGACAGTATACTCATAATACTAACAATATTATTGTTGGTATTGTGACAAATTACTGGGGTTTAGGTGAATTGATGCAGTTGTTGCAACTTTATAGTGCAATTTGATGGCATAAAACTGATTTTAATGTTTTACAAATTCATCTCACAATGTACCGAGCAATTATCCACAATTGATGTGTTGAAAGCTTGACTTGGATTGATTGTATAGGTTTATGTAACAATGGCTCTGCAGCTATGACAGGGAAGAATACTGGCCTTTAACTTAAGTGAAAGTTGTAGCTCTGGCAGTAAAATGACCTTCGCGTGGGACTGACAGAATTAGAACCAAACATCGATCATTTTGTGCAATTAAAAACAAGCTCAAATTTGACATTGATGTTTACAGTTTGTTAAAATATGGAAAACATTTTTTTTTTAATTTACATTGTTATGACTTTATTCAGAAAGAATAAATTCCTGGTTGTACACTATATATAGATATTACCCATTTTATTTGTGCAATGTGCTGTAGGTAGGTATATTTGTATTTTTAGTAGTGTAATTGTATTTTTGCTTCATATTTTCAAACTTTACTGATATTATTTAATTTGTAATAAAAAATAAATACTAAATACAGAGCAATAAACACTTGTGCATGCTAGGGGAGGCTACATTGCACTCAATCTCCGATCAGGGAGGCATACTGTAGAAAAGGTAGAAAACACCTTCTGATATGCCATCAAAACTAGAAATTTAAAACCTTTAATTCTACTTTATTATTAAAAAAATTCAAATATGAATTTAAATTTTTATAATTTTCTAAGTTGCTGAATTTCTTAATGTTTATTTCTTAATGTTTATCAATAAAACTATAAAAATGTTATTAATTTATAACATATAAAATTGTTTTTTTATTAGTAATTTTCCTTTGATAGAATCCTCTGTAGATATGTTGAAACAATTGGAAGATTGCATGATAGACTTTCTTAACTTAGAAAATGAAATGCTACAGTTTCAGGAAGCTGCAGAACAAATTAAACAAAAGGTAAAATATTAAAAAAATAATAATAAAAATTAAATATTATTTTTTATAATATTTCCTAATGTTAAATCTTAATGAATTGATATCTTTAATTAGGGAAACATTGTTAAAGGTTTTACTGAAATATTATCCAATAATAAATTGGATCTAATTATAAGTGACTTATTAGCCATTAACTCAATGTTATTTTTTTACATATGTTAATATTAAATAACTGTTAGAACAAATACAAAATTAAAATTAAGTATTTGTTTTAATAATTACTTTCTTGATGGTTCATTTTATATGTCAATTATATTCTAAAAGAAAGAAAAAAAGAATAATTTGAGTCAATTGCCATTTTTTTGAGATGTCAGTTGCCATCTTTTTGAGATGTCAATTGACTCAAATTACTTTTTATATTTTTATACAAAAATGCTTAAATACGAGGGCTGTTTGAAAGTTAATCTCCATTAGGCAGTGAAATACAAGAATAAAGACAAACTATATTTATTTTACACAAACGGTACATACATATCTTAGCTACTTCTCAACATAACTTCTGCCAAAATTCAGGCATTTGTTGTAACATGGCACCATTTTTTGTATCCCCTCATCAAAGAAATTTGCTGCCTGGAGTCCAACCATTCACAAATGCCATGAATCAGTTCCTCAATGGATTTGAATTGCTGCATCCCCAACTGCACATTTTTTGGAACAAATAAAGTTGCTTAGTGAGAGGTTTGGGCTATAGATAGGGTGATCAAACAACTCCCATTGAAACTCTTGGAGCCTGTGGACATGTGTTGTCAAGGACAACATGCCTTGCCTCTTGTTCTGAATTACAGTGGCGTGCCGTCATTAGAAGCNAATATTTCCTAATGTTAAATCTTAATGAATTGATATCTTTAATTAGGGAAACATTGTTAAAGGTTTTACTGAAATATTATCCAATAATAAATTGGATCTAATTATAAGTGACTTATTAGCCATTAACTCAATGTTATTTTTTTACATATGTTAATATTAAATAACTGTTAGAACAAATACAAAATTAAAATTAAGTATTTGTTTTAATAATTACTTTCTTGATGGTTCATTTTATATGTCAATTATATTCTAAAAGAAAGAAAAAAAGAATAATTTGAGTCAATTGCCATTTTTTTGAGATGTCAGTTGCCATCTTTTTGAGATGTCAATTGACTCAAATTACTTTTTATATTTTTATACAAAAATGCTTAAATACGAGGGCTGTTTGAAAGTTAATCTCCATTAGGCAGTGAAATACAAGAATAAAGACAAACTATATTTATTTTACACAAACGGTACATACATATCTTAGCTACTTCTCAACATAACTTCTGCCAAAATTCAGGCATTTGTTGTAACATGGCACCATTTTTTGTATCCCCTCATCAAAGAAATTTGCTGCCTGGAGTCCAACCATTCACAAATGCCATGAATCAGTTCCTCAATGGATTTGAATTGCTGCATCCCCAACTGCACATTTTTTGGAACAAATAAAGTTGCTTAGTGAGAGGTTTGGGCTATAGATAGGGTGATCAAACAACTCCCATTGAAACTCTTGGAGCCTGTGGACATGTGTTGTCAAGGACAACATGCCTTGCCTCTTGTTCTGAATTACAGTGGCGTGCCGTCATTAGAAGCGATAGAAGCGCCGCTTTCCTTGTATTTTCTAAAAAATAAATGCATATTAATTTTAATTATATGAAAATAATCGCACAATATTTTATAACCACATTATGTATCTTATTACAAATTTCTATACTACACGTGAAAAAAAAGATAAGATTGCTATTGTATATTCGAATATTAGTGGCGGAGTGGAAGTGCTGTATTGCCAGCATCCAAAAAGCCAGATTTGCGCATGCGCTTTACAGAGCATCAACCTCACCCGGTTTAGCCGGTGGAAGCCTAGGACCTTGGGTGGCTGCTACACGTATAACGCATCCAATTCTATCCGGGACAGGTTCCGGGCTGTTAGCCGCCCGCCTGCTAGATATTTGGCCGCCCTCGCCCGATTACGTGCATCGCGAGTAGATTTATAACTTAACCCAACCGATAAGAATTTACCTGTATGTTTTTATGATAGTTTTCTGTATAGTTGACAGGAGTTTTAAAAAATCCATTAAAATATTTGATATATTTATTCTGCTTTCCGATTTTATATTACTCGCGGATTTCGATGTTAAACCGGTGATATTACGATTTCGTATATCCCATCTCTTAGGGAATGTAGAAAAAAACATGTACAATTCTTGTATAATGTTAAAAAATTAACTGTTACTTTGACAGCATCATTTACAACTAAATCTGAGATAATTAATGAATGAGAGAGATGCACGAGGTACAGAAAAAGCTCTAGAATTTATTTTCCTTACATTTACGATTTATATATTCGTTTGTCATAAAAACTTGTCTTTCCACTTTTTCCCGAGACTACAAATATTCGAGTATAAAGTAACTGGTTTCGACTTATTTCTACTTAAGAAGTAGTTAAATAATTAAGTGATTAGGGAATTGGGGACATAAACAAAACTCTGATGAAAGAGCCGGAATATTATTTTAACAAAAGTTTAACCGAACCAATCTATAGCTGAGTACAGTGGGACTGATTTCTTCAAAATATTAGATGTAATAAAGACAAAAATTTTTCCAGTTCATCGACAGTGACCGAAAAGTTGTAAATTTTGGAAATTTCCGTGGACAACACCTGGTCCTAAAACGAACTAGTTAGAAAACAAATGACTATTAAGTTTAACATATTTAGATTTTTACAACTATGGTGAGAAATGTTTAAAATCTACAACAGCCCTGTCGCGTCCTTTGAGATATACTAATGATGCGACAAAAGAGGCATTTGACATTGACCGGTATCGGCACTTTGGGGATTTGGCAGTCTGCGTGTATGCGTGCTCTGCAACCGTCTTCGATTCCATCCATTAGTCACTTGTAGGGAGCTATTTGACTAAGTGGATTGTTTTAAGATTTAAAAAGTAAAGAATATTTTATATTTTTATGTACATTTCTTTGCAAAGCTATAATTAATTATAGTTTTCTTTAAAAGTATATTCATATAATTGAAGAATATTTCGTATGTACCAGTGTGGCTACATGCCTGTTTTTATTATTATTAGTCTGTATAGCTTTAATTTAATTTAAATTCTAGAATTTTCCTTCTTTCCGATTTCTGTGTTCCTTTGTCTTGGACTTCCGAGAACTCACCTCACCCCTAACCCATCAGGGGGTAGCATTAGAACAAAAGGAGAAAACGAGGCTGGAAGGGAAAAGGAAGAGTTTCTAGAAGCATTTTTAGGCCAGACTCGAGAGAGATAGACGAGTGGCAGCAGGCTCTTGAATGGAAAGTCAAGGAGCGCTGCAGAAGGAGGCCATAAGAAGCGAATCGGTAGAAGAATCCAGTCGACGATTATAGAGAAAAAACCCCAAAATGGACACGAGTTGTTCTAAGAGGAGAATAGACAAGAAAGAGAAGCCGAGATGAGTAATGGTGGAGAACCAACTGGAAAATTGGGTATCCTTCTGTCCTTTAATTCTTCTCATTTCCCCTTCTACTTTTTCTATTTTTAGTTTAAGTTAGGTTAAGGTTTACACGTGCAAATAAATTGTCGGGAGGTAGTTATTGAGAAATTAACTACCAGTCTATTGATATACCTGGTATCTCAAGATTGTGGAACTGTTTGAAGGAGAACAGCGGGAATCCAAACCTATTCTGTATATATATATTTCAAATTCAGCGCAAAATTAAACTCGTTTAATTGGTAAAACGTGTGTGTTTACCTGTCTGCATTGAACATTTCATACCAGTACATCCACCACATATTTTGCCAAGTAAATTTTTGTTATTTTATTTTTAATTGTAGCCCTTATATCGTGGCTAGCAATTTGGAATGTAATTGTGATATTAAAAATGCATTTAGAGAACTCTACAGTTTTTACTGGCTTATCAAATAAACAATACGAATGGACCATCATTGACCATCATTGACGCACAATTGACTGATTGCCCCTGGATGTCAGCTTCTTACAGAAACACAGCTTCCCTATCATCAAATGTTACAGCACGCCCCTGCTGAATTACCCTTCCAAGAAATTCAAGCAATTGTTATTCAGAAAAGAGATAATGACTACAATTTTTTGAGACTATAAAGGAGTGTTGCTGACAGATTTTATGGAACCTGGAGCTGCTATTACTTTGCAGGTGTACTGTGAAACCAGTGTGGTGGAGTCAGTAAACAAAACATTTGACTCTTTCAAATGTGCAATGTGCAACACCAACCTTACCCTTTTTTAAAATGTCATGCTATAATTTTTTTATAATAAAGGTATCACTAGACATCTGAATATTTTTACCTAAAATTTCTCTAAAAAAAGTTATATTAAAATTGATGGTGAGAATCAAAAAACAGTTATAACAAATTTATATCTTGAAAAATTTTCACGTACATAAAGAAATACACAACAGTTTAATAGCCAAAAGAATTCTACTTTTATTAGTTAATTATGAAAAATATATTTAAATTTAATGATTTTCAAGAAAATTAAATACAGTAATACCTCTACTTACACTACCCTGACTTACACAAACCCGGAGTTACGCGATTTTCAAATCTCGTCGATTCGTCTTTCGTTTGAGCACCACGCAACTCTTGATTACTCACTCCCCACACACTATTGTTCAGCTTACATGTTTGGATGTGTTGCGCAGAATCGACACATAGCTACAATTTATTTTGTGTTATTTATTTCTGTGTTCTTTATATCTATGGAGACTTGAGAGACTCTATTTGGTGATTTCTTGCAACCGTGAACGATTCAAAAGACGAGATAAGATTAATGAGAACATTTATTAGCTTACATACATCTGACTTGGATTTTACACAAATTGCGAAATTATACTCCGACTTATGCGAATTCGACTTATGCGGTTATCACTCAGTCCCACCTATCGCGTAAGTTCAGGGTATTACTGTACAACAAAATGC